TAATTCATTTCTCTTCCTTCCTTTCATTCATTCATACACTCACCCATCCATTCAATCCACTCATTCATTGACTCAACTTGGCCACTCACTCTCCTCAATGACTCACTCTGCCCACTCACTTACTTACTCTACTCAGCCACTCCACTCCACTCACTCATTCACTCGCTATCCTCATTCTCTATAACATAAAAACAGTATCAGCATAACTATAACATTTAAAACAATGAAATTTTTCACTCTTAACCCCTACAATCAAGATGATGTGAACATCACATCATGAAAAAATTTGGCTTGACGGGTGGGTGACGTGAACATGCTGTTATGAAAAAATTTGGCTGTAGGCCAGAGTGATGCAAACCTGCAGTCATGAGTGTTTCAGCTGAAGGTGATAGGAAAGACTCTTCATGAGTACACGAAGCTCTTGGAGGGTGATTAAACTCAGTTGTTTAGTTTAGGCAGGGGCTTTGCATAACTTCCATCAATAAACAAGTATGGAATCTACTGTCAATTATCATCACTGAACTGACATAAAGACTACCTAGAGAGATGCTATGAAGTCTGTGCAAGAAAAATCGTCTATAACCATTTGAATAAAGCAAATCAAATGACATATATAGACTATAAAATGGCAAAAAATAAAAAGAAAGACAAAATAACACTGCAAAGGGGAGGGATAGTCTTGTCACTGCACACAAGTGTTCATTTGTACCCAGCCTACCAGCTGCACACTCATCGGTGTTCGTTCACAGAAGCCTAATGCCTGAATTTTGGGCCCCATCATGGATGAAGCATCCAGATCCAATGGGTTAATAGTGTAAACATTCAAGTAAATAAATCATCACAAATTTTTCCTAAAACAGCAAAAAAAAATGTTTTCTGAGTATATATAAATGTGTATATACATCTATAAGTAAAAGATGTTAAGAAAACATTGCACATTACCTATATTGAACTTACAGTACAAAATATAATTCTAAAAATCACAGCATGCTTCAAATGAATAAGAAAATGATGCAACATTAAACCACATCAAAAGCACATTCTACAAACAAAGCACATATCTAACTATCATGTGCTCCCCACCTCTATACCCTCCACTACCAACATTGGAAATCTGCGGCATCCAGCTCCTGTCTGGCTGTCTTTGTCGTTGTGGATAGACATAGTCTACATCTGCATACAGTGGGTAGTCATACCCTGCCAATGAAACCAGCTCTTTTCACTCCTGCCTATGACAGGTGGGAACAAACACAATTCCAGAAAGCCTAATTATTATCAATTGAGAAGTTTGTTTGTTAAAATACCATCTATTTTTGGGCCAATAAGAGATCTATGAAGGAAGAACTGATTAAGTTGTCAGACCAATTTATGTAATACCACACGAATCTGGGTGGTGAAGTGGTAATACACTTATGTGCCATATCTATTGTCTAAATGCACTTACTTTTAATGTAAAGAAGTTAAGGAACAGAATTTCCTTCTGACAGCTAGTGAAGCTTATATTGTGATATAGCCCCATGTGCAAAAAGCTTGCCAGAATATACCAACAAAGTCCCAAACATGAGGTTAAGAAGCAAATCTTTACTGCAAAACAAAACTCAAAACTTACCAGAGTTTTTGTAGGCCTTCTTTTCATTCTCGATAGGTTTTTCCAGGGAATTATATGTGATTTCTTGTTCCTGTAAACATCCAGGTTAAAGCAAATGATTAACTCCTTCATACTTTCTTAATTTATCTATTATACAATCATAAGGATGTGCAAACATACTTTGTAAAAAGTGATTATAATGCTAAAAAACAAAAAATATAAAATTTTGCTGAATTTAAGATTCTTTTCATTTCAAGGTTAAACAAAAATAAAGGATAGACTTGAAATAGTCAAAGACAAAAAGTACTGTAATATTTGCTGTAGTATACTATAAAAGATACATTACAGTATGGATTTATATACAAAAAGTAAAAAGTATGAAAAGTAGCAAAAAGAATTGGTAATGCACAGTGAAAACCACAAGCAAATGTAGAATGAAGTGAATCTAGAATATGCAAAGGTTCATTCAATGAATGATCATTCTGTAGTTTATGACATCCAATATGATTATTAAGTAAAATGGAAAAGACAGGGGCATACAGAAGGCAGAGGTATGGAAGAGAAGAAAAAGGAGTAACAGAAAAAGTAACTTAAGAAGAAGCTCAAACCCAGAAAAAACCTACTTTGTGCAGGTTCTCGCCTTGTGCATGTTCTTCAAGTTCAGGGTTTGGTGGCAATGGGACATCACTATCAGCTGGAAGATTCTGAGTGACAGCTGGGAAAGACTCACTCCAGCAGCCTCCTGTCTCTGAGCCTTGCTCACGGTCCGTGTAATACATGAGGTAAAGATTGCACATCTCATCTCCAGAGGTCTGGCCTGTAAAAAAGATTATTAAATAATTCAGTATGGGATAATTACAGGCAAACAAGGAATATGTAGGTTTTCTGATTATAAATGTATGTAGCTTTCAT